CTTTAAGAATCTGCCATGCTAGTGGGTGTCATTTTGAACTCATAAGAAGTACAAAGGCTTTCCTTGAACTTTAAATTACTGATACATGTGCCTGTCTCTGCACCCTCCAGACACCCACAAAAATACTATGATAAAGACCAGAATCAGCATTCTCCTGGCATCTAACCCATCTTCTAAAGTGTTACTTGTCCATTTGCAGGAGAAGAACCTTTGAGGGCTGGGCTGTGCCAGATGGCTAAGATGAACTCTTCCTCCGTCTTGTTGCTTTCTGCAAAATTCCTCTCCATTCATGGATGCATTTGGCACCTGACTTTTCTCTTGTCAAACTTCTGCCACATCGTGGTGATGTTTATCATACCTCATACTCCCAGTCCCTTACTGGCTGCTACACTATGGACTGGAAGTTGAAGTCAACAGCCACACATCCAGAACTAATCCACCTCTGAAATTCTAACCTCTGATAGCCTAATTTCTGACTCTGCTCTCCTGTGGTCTGCATACATTCCCCCTATCACCGTGTTATTCTTTGACCTTATAAATTGTGCTCTCTCCATCTTGTCCCGTTTGATTAGGCTCCATCCTACTTTCTTTCCTTTCTTCTCTCTTATAAATCCTACAATTGAAGTTTATTTCCTTGTTCTCAAATATTCTGCCTCTTTTATCATTTTTTGCTACTCTAGCCTGCTTCCTTTCAATTTGTTTTCTTTGCTTCTATGCTCTCAGTGCTGAGCTCATATATGTGGATGAATATCACTCCCAAATGGTGGTTTTCGCTCTGCACCTTGTCCAAAACAATGTCTAGAGATTCCTGTATGTATTCAGTGTCTGTCATTTCTCCCACTAACATCAGATGCCATTCAATCCCTAACCATTTCCCATAAAAACTTATTATTTTTTCTCTACACTCTCCTGGCTCACTCTCCCACCCTACTCACTTCCAAAGGAAGATTTGTCTTTCTGTTTCTTCCAGAAAATGGACATTCAAAGATAACTTGTCACCTTCCTGCTCTTTTGTCTAGCCTTAAGTACATGCACACACACCCACATGTATACACTTGAACTAAAATAGTTCTCTTCTACCTCAGCAGAAGTATTCTTACCACCCAAAATGAATCTCAACACCTACTCTTAGAGGTAAGGTTACAGATTAGATGAACATGAAGGGTTTGGAACAGTGCCTGGTCAGTGGATTTAGCTATTTTTCTTGCCTCTTTCTACTTCCTATTATATCCATGGGCTTATCAGTTACTCTCCATCATTCCTGGCTTTCTGGAGTTGGCACAAATATGCTCACCTCTCTCATCTGGTAAGAAATGTCTTCCTTTGAGCTCCTACACTCTCCTTCCTCCCTCCAGACTCCTGTATTCTTCTCCTTCCTTTCCTGGCCAAGCTCTTTAAAGACTTATCTTCACTTCCTCATGGTTCATTTAGTCTCTAATCCTCTTCACCTAGTTTCTTCTCCACCATTCCCATGCATATCTCTCTCCATATCAATAATCAATTCCCAACTCCATATTAAGGTGGCATTTTTAGTACTCATCTCTCTTAGTTTCCCAGAAGGATTTGTTTTTTGTTGTTGTTTTAATAGTTTATTGTCAAGTTGATTTCCATATAATATATTGATGCGGACGAAATGACACAGAGGACAAGACACACACAAAAGACAGACACAGACACAACTCCGGCCGGAGGAACAATTCTACGCAAGCCCCTCTTGCGGTTTATTTTATACCCGGTAACTGGATACAAACTGAAATCTACAAGATGCATTCCTTTACCAATTAAGGGCAAGTAGCCAAACACATTTCAAGGACGGGGGGAAGCAAAGGGAGGAAGCGACCACAACATGTTTACTAAGAGGCCTGCTCACAATTCCAGCCTCCTCCTTATTTCTAAGGAGGGCATGTTCCCTCGTTTGCGAGCGGACCATTAAACTTGGATATTGTGTGCAGGCCTCCTGGCAGAGCATCCTGTTTGCAGGCACTCTTTGCCCAGGCAGGGAGCCCCGTGTTCAGGCACATCCCCGCGTCCCTAACCACGCTTTCTTGTGGTCACTGTCGGGCTCCCACATATATAACACTCAGCTCATCCCCACAAGTGCCCTCCTCCATGCCCATCACCCCCCTTCCCCTTTCCCCCACACCCACCTCAGTTTGTTCTCAGCCCTCAAGAGTCTCTCATGGTTTGCCTCTCTCCCTCTCCCCCAGTATTTCCCCCCTTCTTCTCCCCCATGGTCCTCCGTTAAGTTCCTCCTAATCCTCCTATATGTGCAAACATATGGTAGCTGTCATTCTCTGCCTGACTTATTTCACTCAGCATAATACCCTCAAGTTCCATCCAGGTTGCTACACATGGCCAGATTTAACTCCCACCTTTAAATAAATTTTCTCCTATTTTGACTTCCGAGATACTTCTCATCTTATTTTTCATACTCTTTGACCACTTTCCCCCAGTATCCTCTGTTGGACCCTTCACTAATCTCATTAAACATCTATATTCTTCTACATAGTTTTATGGATGATCATAATAGACTGTCTATTGGATTAGGTTAACTCAGAAGGATTCTACCACCTGGAGGCCCCAGAGTGAATTGGAAATAGAAGTCTCCAACTGGTGGGAGCTGAGCAAGGGTCCTGCCCCAAAGGCCAGTTGGCTGTAACATGGCACAGAAATGGGAGAGCATGTCCTGTGAATGATGGGAGGTGGCAACAAGGAACAGAAGTTATGCACAACCTTTCTCACCACCCTTCTTACTGCATCACCCTACATCTTACATATCTGATATAAGGTGCTACAACCAACTCATCATTGAACATTTTCTTCTTTATTTGAAATCTTCCATTGGTAGAAATTCATGCATTTTCTTTAGAGTGCTGAAAGCTTAGAATCAGAGTGAAGAAAGTTGATGCTCAGTCTTTCAGGAAAAGTATCCCAAGGGTCCCCTCTCTATGCCTCACTGATTCCATTCATTCATTGAACAAATGCTCATTGGTGGCTACACTATATCATATGTTATGCTTGATGCTTGAACTTTAAGGAAGAATAAGAGATGGTCCCACTTTCCAAGGAGATTACGCTCTTCTGGGGAAATATGTTACAAAAGGCCTGAAGAATGAGCAGAATAATCTTTCATTTGGTTAGTATATCCACTGTCATAGACTGTGCTGGAGACATACTGACTTGTCCTAGAACTGTGATTTGCCTCAAAATGTCTTTTGTTTTTGCTTTTGTGTTAACAGATTTATTTGAACAAGTTATATATAGTGCCATATATGAAGCTTTGTTTTGTTATGTTCCTGTCCAATAGAATGGTCCCCTTGATTGGGTTCGCAGGTCTTCACAATTCCCCTCAGAATCACATGTATACACCATCCAACAGAACGCTAAACACTTCATATACATATGCATTTCATGATGTCACCCTCAGGACAACCCACAAAGTAGGTATGATTATCCCCATTTTATAGATGAAGAAAGTAAATCTCAGAGAGTTTCAAGTAACCTACCTAAAGTGACCCTGCTAGGAAGTAGAGGAGCCAAGGTTTGGGTCTGGTCTGTTTGATTCCAAAGACCATGTTCTTAATCACTGTACTTCCTTTTGGTTTGATTCTCACTACATAACATATTATAGGCGCTAGATTTTCCAGGATTGTTATGATTTAAAAACATGATGGCTCCTTTATAAGCCATCAAAATTGCTCTGAATTTCTTGTTTTCTGTTGGCTTTTAGAAAATGTGGCTACTCTTATAAATGTCTTTAAGTACCGTATATATACCTCAGTCAGGTATATGTAATATAAATATATATACATAATCATGGGTATAAGAATGGAAAAAAAGTCCATATGTGTATCATATTTATATACTACTTGATCTCAGAAAGACTTCAAGATGAATTTACACACACACACACACGAATAACCATTTTACCTATCCATCTTTATGTTACTCACATGTATTATATTAGATATTTTCTGACTTTTTAACACAGACATTTTCTCTGTAATTAAGCACACTTTTAAGACAGTATTTTCATGTCTGGCCAGTAATCCATAATTTAGATACGCTGCCATTAACTTAAGCATTCCTCTATAATGGATTTTGGATCATTTCTATTTTTTAAGGTTTTATTTATTTAAGTAATCTCTACACCCAATGTGGGTCATGAACTCATGATTCTGAGATTAACAGTCGCATATTTTTCTGACTGATCTAGAAAAGCACCCCATTTTTGGATTATTTTTAAATTTATAGTATTGTAATACTACAGTGAATTTCCTTATATTTACACCTCTATAGATGTCTATTATTGCTTCCTTGGGATGAGTTTCTAAATGCATAATTATTGAATAAAAAGTGTTTCCTCTATTTTTAACGTTGCTAGAGTATAATTCAAGTTTCTATATTTTGCCAATTTATACTTGGGTAATATCATTCCTGATCAACAATTTTTCCTTCCTATGATTGTGTTGCTTAGAAAAAAGGGACTACACACAATATGGTCTTTAGGACCTTTTCCAGAAGACTGCATTCTTTTATGATGTCTAAAAATACTACTGATCCTATGACAACATTAGCACAAGTGTTTCAGTGCCCAGGGATCTCAGGGTCCCCTGGGATGGTTTTTGTGAAAAGATTCATTGTTCTTCATTTGTATCTGGACAGTTGAAGACATTTGCTTCTCAGATTCTTGGCCTGATTTGAATCAAATGTGCATGCAGAGATTTGCTTCACCAAATGTGTTATGGTATTTTCATGGAATTGTACAAAGATCACCAAGGAGCCCTGCAGCTCTAGGCTTTAGTTTCTCATTTGCAAAATGAAAGGTTTGGACTTGATAATTTCTAAAACCCTTTATATCCAACAGTGTATGATGTCCTAGATGATTTTTCCTGTCTCCTCTTGCTGGACACCTGTCTCATCTTTCCAGGTGCTTTTGTTTGTATGTTTCTTTCCTTAGGTCATCTTCCTGAGAGAAGGGGGCTGAGGTGCTATACAAGATGTTTGTGCTTCATGAATCCCAGAAGCTGCAGATTCTCTATGAATCCCTGGAAAAGAGCATCCCTGAGTCCTTGAAGGTGAGAGAGTAGGGAGAAATCTGGGAGAGAGGGGTGGGAATATAGTGTGGGAATACAGATTCAGGGCTCAGAACCTTCCTGGGCAGAAGGAAAAACAAGTCTAAAGTCAGATTCTTTCTGCAAGGATGATCTTAATACCCATACCTAAACACATACTTTACTCCTCCTTCTTCTTTTTAAAACATGGTTTGAATCTATTCTATTCCTATTTCTAGTGGAATTCCTTATCTGCTCCAGGCTATTGCAATATTTGCCTTTCTACAATATTACTAACTTACCTACACTTGGTAACCAGAGTCATCTATCTGACACAAATATGATCATACAACTCCCTTGTTTTAAAATTTCAGTAGCAGTCCATGTCCAAGGCACAAAAGTCCACACTCCTTAATTCTGAGGTTTATCACAAAATGTTCCAGTGTCTTCTGCTTCATCTCCCAACAATGTCTCTTCCATATACCACATGCTAAATCACTGAGCCTTCACAGCTCAGCAGGGATGATACAATCTACCACAACTTCAAACACTAACACATGCTTTTTCTCTCACCTGGAATTGCCTTTCTTCTCTATTTTGCCAGGAAAAGACTTTACTTATCCCTGAAGACCGATTTCAAATATTACTTCCTCTATATGTTTCTTACCACCCCTAGAGAGGTAGTGACTTTCTTCCTTGAGACCCCACACAACCATATGCATGCATCTATCAGAACATGTGTCCTATTATGATCAAACTATATACTTCTCCATCCTTGTAAACTTGAAGGCAGTGGCTGTATCATGCTCACCTTTGAATTTTCCACATTTGACACAAATCTGACACATAATAGGTGCCAAAAATGGTATAGTATGAAAAGAAAAAAAATGGTGTGAATTTTTAAAAAATGAATGAATGAATGAATGTCAGAGGAGCTATTTCCTAATGATTCAGTGATTCACTTAGATTTTTGTGGAAAAGCCCTTCCTGGGCTTTTTTGCAGCATGCTTCCCAATGGATAGTTCAGTGAGCCATCCTGAAAGCACTAAAGTGATCCTGTCAAGTTCTCCTGACTCCTGGCTTTATTTCCCAGATCACCTTCAAGACCCGACCTCAAAGAAAAACTTCATCTCCTCCTATTTTGATCTGTTGCTCTTGTAGGTATATGGTGCTGTTTTCAACATTAAAAATAAAAACCCATTCAACATGGAGGTGCTGGTGGATGCCTGGCCAGATTATCAGATAGTCATTACTCGGCCTCAGAGAGAGGTGAGATCACTAGTTACTGAATACCAAACCAGTCATGTTTGGATGAATACCAAAACCAGTCTGAGGATGTTCTCTGAGTAGAAATGAGGAACTGAAGCTGGAGGCTGAGGATAAGAGCCTTTGCACCCCTGGTCCATATAGATTTTGGGAGGACTTCTTGGATGGGGAGAGGAAGGCAGTGAAATAAGGCATGAGTAGAAACCAAATTGCCAGTAATCCAGGGCTTAAAAATACTGTCAGGATCTCATCTGGTCTATTTTATTTTATTTTTTATTTAGAGTGAGTGAGCACGGGGGAGAGGGGCGGGGGGGGAGAGAGAGAGAGAGAGAGAGAGAGAGAGAGAGAGAGAGAGATCTTAAGCAGGCTCCACACTTGGGGCTTGATCCCACAAAGCATGAGATCATGACCTGAACTGAAATCAAGAGTTGGTCGCTCAACCAACTGAGCCATGCAGGTGCCCCTGGTCAATTCTTTTCCATTGAAATTCTAATCACAGGCATATACCTCAACATAAATATTTGTGGCTGGAAATGGTTAGGGAATGTTTCACTTTCCCTGGGTCTGATGAACATAATCCGATACCATTTGAATCAGTACTGGTTTTGAGATCTAAATCTGCCAAGTGTCTAGCTGTGTGACCTTGGGAAGACTGCTGCTTTCTTCACTATAAAAAGTGCAGTTGACAAAAACTACTATTCAGAGGATTGCTAAACTATAGATAAATTATGTATAGTTGACCCTTGAACAATGCAGACATCAGGGACACCAGCCCCTGAACAGTCAGAAATCTGCATATAATTCTTGACTTCCTCCAAAACTTAACTACTAATAACCTACCATTGACCAGAAGAAGCCTTACTGATAACATGGTCTATTAACATATATTTTGTATATTACATGTATTATATATTGTATTGTTATAATAAAGTAAGCTAGAAAAATTAAAATGTCATTACAATCATAAAGAAAATACATTTACTGTATTTTAAACAAATTTGCTTGAAAGTGGACCCTCAGTTCAAACCCGTACTGTAGAGCCAATTGTGTATTTAATAAAAACGTCTTTCCCATCTTTCAGATTTGGGGAGTATAAGTATTGAATCCCCTCCATCCCAGAGTAGGGATATTTTAACCCCTCCTCCCACACTTCTCTATTTACATAGTTATCAGGAGAATTAGAACACAACCTCACTTGTAACAACCCCCAGAGAAGTATCAGCTGCAGAAAGTGAGTAGGAATGCCAGGCAGTGGAGACTGGGCCTTCCCCTCCAGCTGCTGCTGTGAACCAGGGGGCCCTGAGGGCTTTTTCTAAACAAACTGAGGGCTTATGGGGGGGAGGAGAGGGGGGTGATGGTCATGGAGGAGGGCACTTGTTGGGATAAGCACTGGGTGTTATATGGAAACCAACTTGACAATAAACTATTTAAAAAAATAAAAAAGTCCTCTCTGTTCACTTGTACGTCAAGAGCCAGTTACCACACCAGCACCAGAGTGCTGAGTTAGAATTAGCCTAGGCATGGCTTCCTCACAGAGCCACAGTCTGACCCCAACCTCGTTCCCTATATTTCTCTCCATAAGGTAGATATCCTCTCTCTCTTTTAGACCCTTAACACACCCTATTGCTGGTGCACCTTCCATCCCAGGCAAGAGAGGTCCTTAAGCACTGTCCCTATCACTGTCAAGAGTGATTTATTTCTCAAAGGATTCCAAGGCCATTTTCTGTCTACACTTCTGGGAAAAACATAGGGTATCAAACATTTGAGTCTGCAGCACTCCAGGCATATGCAACAACATTTTGTAAATTGTACTGCTATGTAAATAAGGTTGATATTTGTTGTTATCAGGAGATGAAGGACGAACTGGATCATTATACCAACACTTACCAAATCTTCACCAAAGCTCCTGACAAGTTAGAGGAAGTCCTGGCATGCCCCCAGGTTATCAATTGGGACCAAGCCTTCCAGATCCAAGGTAACTGATCTGAGTTAAAAAGCCAAGACCTGTGGTTCATTCACAGATGTGGAAGGGGGCAGACAGTGCCTGTTTTTCTCCCCTCTCCAGGTTGCCAAGAGAACTTGCGGGAGGCAATAAGAAAGATTTCAGTTTCAAAATCAGTGCAGGTGGATTACACAAAGACCACACTCATTATGACACAAATGCCAATGGAACCCAGTGATGACCAGGTGGATGTGATGGAGTCATTTAAAATGCCCAAAGTGGATGACAATACCGAGTGAGATTTTAACTTTTGCTTCCCAAATTCCTGATAAGAAATCATGCAGTTATCATAAGGGCCAGACCTGGCAATGCAAGATTTGAGACTAAATTATGGGGCTCACAGTTGTAGGGGTAGAGGAAGGGAACTGTATTAGCTGAGGTTTGCTGAGCATGGGCGAGGTCTTCATGAGATGAGGTCCTTTCCATATATAATTCACTTAGAGCCCTCCTGGGAGAGTGTTGGACATCATGGTGATATTAAAGAATCTTTATTAAGATTATTTTCAATTTCTTGCAAAAACACTACATTCTAGGGGCATGTGGGTGGCTCAGTAGGTTAAACATTGGACTTTGGCTCAGGTCATGATCTCATGGTTTGTGGGTTCAAGCCCAGTGTCAGGCTTTGTGCTGAAAGCTTGGAGCCTAGAGCCTGCTTCAGATTCTGTGCTTGCTTCTCTCTGCCCCTCCCCCACTCATGCTCACTCTCTCTCTCTCTCAAAAATAATAAATAAACATTAAAAAATACAATATTCTATACCAAGTATACAAGTATTCAAAGAAAAAAGTGAAAGTTTTCCCACTTAGATCCCCACAATCTTTCTTTCAGGTGTAAATATTCTTTTTTTTTCTAAGTTTATTTATTTATTTTGAGAGAGAGAGAGCAAGGCAAGGGCAGAGAGAGAATCCCAAGCAGGCTCTGCACTGTCAGTGCAAAGGCCAACGTGGGACTTGAATTCACGAACCGTGAGATCATGACCTGAGCCAAAGTCGGATGCTTGACTGACTGGGCCACCCAGGTGCTCCCAGGTGTAAATATTCTTAACGTTAGTGTGTATGCTTTTAGTACTCGGTGTGTATGAATTTTTGTTGTTTTCCTTTTCTTTTGTTTTTACAACAGGTGCACTTACTGTACTACAACTTTTTTCATTCAGATATGTTATATAACCCTTTCATGTAATCTCATACAGGTATCTTCATGTACTTTGGCAGCTGCATAGATTTCCATAAGAGGGAGATGCACAATTATGTAATCCCATATTAGCACACTTTTTATTTCTCTCCAGTTCTTCCTAATAACAGAAATTCTACAAGAAATGTCGTCGTAAACAGATCATAGCACAAGTTGTATAAATATTTCTAAAAGATGAATCCTGGAACTGAAATAGTTAGGTAAAATAATATGTATATTAAATGGAAGATATTTTCAAATTGGATTTTAAGACTTTGATAAATTTATTTGTGTATTTAAAAAGAATTTTAACATTTATTCATTTTTGAGAGACAGAGACAGAGAGTAAGCAGGGCAGGGGCAGAGAGAGAGAGAGGGAGACACAGAATCTGAAGCAGGCTCCAAGCTCTGAGCTGTCAGCACAGAGCCCAGTGCGGAGCTTGAACACACAAACTTGAGAGATGACCTGAGCTGAAATCGAACGCTTAACCGACTGAGCCACCCAGAATTCAGAATACATGTTTCACACATGCATCTTCAAACAAAATTCAGGGCTGCTCTGGTGTATCTATAGCCTTCTTTTAAGACATATGCTTATTTTCTTCTTCCTTGGGATATATGGTTACTTTTTTGAGATGTTCTGTGTTATATGATGCTAATTCTCTGTTATGAAATGTATCATAAAGTACATAGGGTGCTGGCACTCTTAATTATTTGGGAACATTTTGGAGCAGACAAAGAATTAGTAGTTTTTTGTCCACCTGTTTCCTCTTCTAGGCTATAGGGTTCTCAAGGAAAGGATTGGTGTCATATTCATTTTTTACACTCCTGGTGTTTTGTAAATGTTGGTTGAGTAAATGCTCATTTTTTTCTTGACAGGAAAGAGAACTTTCAGAACATCTTCTTAGATCCTTCCCATGCAGGGCTTGTGAATGAGCAGTGGACATTTGGGAAAAATGATAGGAGCTTGAAATACATTGAACGCTGCCTCCAGAATTTTCCAGGATTCGGTGTGCTGGGTCCAGAGGGGTGCCTTATCTCTTGGGTTGTAATGGAACAGTCCTGTGAGATGAGAATGGGCTACACTGTCCCCAAATACCGAAATCATGGCTATATGAAGAAAATCGGTATTCACCTTATGAAGTATTTTATTCAGAAAAAAATGCCATTTTATTTTCATGTGTCAGAATATAAAGAATACCATCAGGCACCGAGGGATATGAAGTTTAAGGTTGCTCCTTGTGGTTGGCATCAGTGGAAATGCACTCCTGAGAAATATTGTTGATTAGTGCCATTTTTCATTGCAAGCCTTCCTCATCAGTGAAAAAATATATATCAGTTCACACACATCCTGATGATTTATATTAGCACAAAAATATCCCATTATTTTGGGTCCATGCATTACTTAGCCCACCCTGTATAACATTTTTGTCCTCCTCCATATTACAGGGAACTAGAAGCTTGAACTTTCGGTGTTATGTTTTTCTTTTATGGTGACAGACATCTCAGAATTAAAATCATCCAGTGTCAATCATTAGTGCCAAGATAACCCTATCAAAGCAACATTTTCCTCTTTGAAGTCTTCTTTCATGAAAGACTACAACTATCTCATGCTTCTATGTTTAAGAATAAAAGGTCTGTTTTGAGACGTGTCTCCTCTGGTATTTTCCCCTTCCTCTGACAAAGTTTTTCAAAGGACCCTTCAAAAGCCCTCAGCTTTTGATCCTGGGTGCCCTCTCAAGAGTTTTGAGATATTCTATAGATAAACCACATCTTCTTGATCCATTCTTCTGTTGATGGACACTTAGGCTCTTTCCATGTTTTAGCTATTGTTGAGAGTGCTGCTATGAACATTGGGGTACATGTGCTCCTATGCATCAGCATTTCTGTATCCCTTGGGAATACTACATGGCAATGAGAAACAATGAAATCTGGCCATGTGTAGCAACATGGATGGACCTTGAGGGTGTTCTGCTGAGCGAAATAAGTCAGGCAGAGAAGGACAAATATCATATGTTTGCACGTATAGGAGGATTAGGAGGAACTTGACGGAGGAACAAGGGGGAGAAGAAGGGGGGAAATGGTGGGGGAGAGGGAGAGAGGCAAACCATGAGAGACTCTTGAATGCTGACAAAAACTGAGGACTGATGGATGTCGGGGGGAGGAGGGATGGGCATGGAGGAGGGCACTTGTGGGGATGAGCACTGAGTGTTATGTGGAAACTAATTTGACAATAAACTATTTGTAAAAAAAAATAAAATAAAATAAAATTTAAAAAAAAACTTAAAAATAAAAGAGTTTTGAGATATTCTACTGAATTAAGTTATGTGGCCATCAGTGAATGTTTGGTTTTCTGATTAGCTTTTTATCACAAGGGGCTGGGTAGGTTGACTTGCGTGTCTTAACTTCCTATTTCCAATATGAATTTTCCATCCTGTATTGGTTTCTTATTGTTGTTGTGAAATCAAAGTCTCAGCAAGGTCAGCACCTTCTGGAGTTTGGAGGGGAGAATCCATTTTCTGGCCTTTTCCAGCGTAGAGAAGCTGCCCTCATGCCTTGGCTGTGGTTCGGCATCCCTTTGCTCCCACTGCTTCTGTTTTCCCCCACACCCTTTATCTCTTTCCATGTCCCTCTTACAAGGACACTTGTCATTACACTCACAACCCACTTGGGAAAGTCAGGAATAGTCTTCCCATCTCAAGATCTTTATGTGATCACACCAGCAAAGTCCTTATTATAATGCAGCTTAACATTCGAAGCTCCTAGGCATTAGTACCTGGATATCATTGGGGGTCATTATCCAGTCGACCACATATGAGTGTCAGGTTTATGTATCTCTATGAGCAAAGTCACCACATACTTTCAGAACTCATATGTTCTCAGTCTGAGACTGACTAGCATTTGTATATCTTAGGTCTATGTTCATGGGAGAGAAAACTTCCCCTGGCTTAAACCCTGTGTTTATAAAAAATTATATCAACTATGATTCAGAGGTCAAGACCATGGATAAACACTGATATTCAGGGCCCATTCGTGTAAGGGATTTGGGGAAGAAGGCACCACAGATAATGTTTACTTAAATCTAAATAAAATAGAGTCAACATCTTCATCTTTAAAATGCCCTTAGTGCTTGAAAATAGACGCCCACCTTGGTTGGTAAATAAATGCTAGAGTAACACTTTAACAATAGACAAAGCCTTAATAGCTCTGTGACTCCATGAGCGTTCTCTGAGCAGAGACAGGCTTCCAGCCCCCTACCTATACACTAAGGTAACAACTTAGGAATTCAGATTTCTTCTGGACACCACTTTTTCTGCTTTAATTTACACTTCAGGACTGACCGGCGCCTTCCTTGTGATCGATCTCTCTGGCAGCCACAACTCTTCTTGGCTATAGAACAGGAAGTAGCAAGCTCTTCTTCAAGACAGTGTCAAAGGAATCAGAGACACAATGAAATGAGGGAGACATGTCACATGCTAATAATAGCTTATATCTAGATTGTACTTAACAGGTTCTAGGCTGCCTTCTAAGTGCTTGGCACCCCTTAACTCATTTAGAGCTCACAACTCCCCCAAGAGGCAAGCATGGTTACTGCAGAAGAGAAAAGCAGAGGGCGCCTGGGTGGCTCAATTGGTTAAGTGCATGCTCTTGGTTTTGGCTCAGGTCATGATCTCATGTTTCATGTGATCAAGCCCCGCATTGGGCTCTGTACTGACAGCATGGAGCTCGCTTGGGATTCTCTCTCTCTCCCTCTCTTACTCTGCCCCCCCTTCTCTCTCTCTCTCTCTCAAAATAGATACAAAATGTTTTTAATTAAAAATTTTTAAAGGGGCGCCTGGGTGGCTTAGTCGGTTAAGCGTCCGACTTTCGCTTAGGTCATGATCTCGCGGTTCGTGGGTTCGGGCCCCGCGTCGGGCTCTGTGCTGACTGCCAGCTCAGAGCCTGGAGCCTGTTTCAGTCTGTGACTCCCTCTCTCTCTGACCCTCCCCTGTTCACGCTGTCTCTCTCTCTCTCCTAGAAATAAATAAAACATTAAAAAAATTAAAAAAAAAATTTTAAAAAGGAAGAGAAAACCACACTAGAGAGTGTTATATCTTTGTCTAAGGCCCAGGCCACCCAACTAATAAGTAGCCAATTCAGGAACTGAATTCAGTTTGTATGGTTCCCATGCTGATACACTTTTTTAAAAATGTTTTTTATTTACTTTTGAGAGAGAGAGAGAGAGACAGCATGAGTAGGGGAGGATCAGAGACAGAGGGAGACACAGAATCCGAAGACAGGCTCCAGGCTCTGAGCTGTCAGCACAAAGCCCAACATGGGGCTCGACCCCACAAACCATGAGATCATGACCTGAGCCAAAGTCAGACGCTCAACCGACTGAGCCACTCAGGTGCCCCCCACACTGATACTCTTAACCTCTGGGCTATCACCTATGACAAATGGCTAATGCTTACTAAACACTGACAAGTAAGCTGACATATGGATTCCTGTCCACTGTCTGTTTCCTTATCTGTAATTGGAAACAATGCAGTGGCCTTAAATATAGTTACAATATTAACCATCATCACTACCTACACCAGAATTTTTCATCTCCAGCATGAGCTCTGGACCCATTAAACAATAACATCCCATTTCCTTGTCCCCCAGCTCCTGCTAAACTTTATTCTTCTTTCAGTCTCTATGAATTTGCCTATTCTAGATAACTCATATAAGTGGGATTGTACATTTGTCCTTCTGTGTCTGGCTGATTTTATTTAACATTGTTCTCAAAGTCTATCCATGGTGTAGCATCCATCAAAATTTCATTCTTTTTGTGCCTATATGATATTCCATTGTATGTATATACCACATTTTGTTTATCATCCATCTATTGATGGTTATTTATTTGAGTCGTTTACACCTTTTGGCCATTGTGACTCATGGTGCTATGAACATGAGTGTTACAAATTATCTATTTGAATTCCTGCTTTCAGTTCTTTGGGGTATATAACAAATGGCTAAGGCTTAGTAAACACCAACAAATGAGCTGAGCTATGAGTTCATACTAGAAGTGAAATTGCGGGATCTTCAGTAGTTCTGTTTAACTTTTCCCCCAGTTTTCTTGAGATATAATGAACTCACAGTGCCATATAAGTTTAGGGTGTATAGAAAATGACTGACTTGGGCAGAGAAGGACAAATACCATATGTTTGCACGTATAGGAGGATTAGGAGGAACTTGACGGAGGAACAAGGGGGAGAAGAAGGGCGGAAATGGTGGGGGA